GAAGAAGTTTGTGAACTGGTTGCCGATGAAGTTGACTGCTGGACAAACTGAGGAAGGGGCTTGTATTGAGGTGCAGGTTGAGGTTGAGGAACTGCTGGCTGCGGTTTTTCCTTCAGTTTGTTGTACTCCACAATTGGCTCTTCTTGAGATGAGCCAGTTGAACCAGTTGAACCTTCCACCTCCTGAGCGTACTCTACACTGCTTTCAACTCGGTTGTTGTCGCTCTTATCAACATTATTATTGTTGGTAGTGGTGGTGAAGCTGACAATTGGAACCTCGATTGGCGTGGGAGCCACCACTACCGCCGGAACTGCCTCCTCAACTTTGGCCTCCACCTCTTCTTCACCGACTGAAGAAGAGCTTGAAGAAGCGACTGAATTACCAGTCTGCTGCTGCTGTTGCTGCTGAAGTGCATCCTCCTGAACGAACTTGGTCTGCACCTTACTTCCGAAGACCACTGGCTCGGCAATGGTTTGCTGGACATTGGTTGAACTGACCGATGGCTGAGGATAAGGGGCCAAAGGTACGACAGGTGCTGGCTGAGCTGGCTGCTGCTGTACAGTCTGCTCAAATGTGGTCACTGAGGGCGCCGGCTGCTGTTGCTGCTGAACTGAAGTGGTAAACTGATTTGAAACCGATTGCTCCACCTGAGAGCTGGTTGATTCCGTTTTCCTCTCCTCCTGAGCAGCAGCTTCATGTTGTTGCTTAGTGACCACACCGGACTTGGGAGTTTGAGGCGTAATGAGGTGAGTCTCCTGCACCAGCGGTCGCACCTGAACGGTNAACCGATTGCTCCACCTGAGAGCTGGTTGATTCAACTTTTTTCTCCTCCTGAGCAACAGCTTCATGTTGTTGCTTAGTGACCACACCTGACTTGGGAGTTTGAGGCGTAATGAGGTGAGTCTCCTGCACCAGCGGTCGCACCTGAACGGTTCGGGTAGTCTGAAAGACCGGAACTACCTGAGCTTCTTGTTGATGGACATTGGTAGTGGAAACAGACTCTACAGGAATTCGGTACACTGGGTTCTGAAGGACGGCTAGGGCCAGTGGTTGAGCTGCCGTCAGTTGCTGCTGTTGCTTCTGCTGCTGATAAACGTACGCCGTTGGCTGTGGNTTCGGTACACTGGGTTCTGGAGGACGGCTAGGGCCAGTGGCTGAGCTGCCGTCAGCTGTTGCTGCTGCTTCTGCTGCTGATAAACATAAGCAGTCGGCTGCGGCTGCGGCTTCACCTGCTGTACACTCTCCACCGGAATCGTTTCAAGGGGAACTGACTGCTGAAAAAATTGCTGCTGCTGCTGCTGAACAGGTCGACTACTGTACGATCTGGTTCGCTGTTGCTGCTGGTAGCGGCTACTCTGTTGTTGTTGCTGTTGCTGCTGTATAAACGGTTTAAATGTTTGCTGAACTTGAACCTGCTGAGGCTGCTGTGGCAGCGGCTGAACGCTGTACACCTCCTGCTGCCTCTGATTGTACACCTGAGCACTCTGAAGGGGAACACTATTTAAGACCACTGCCGGCTGAGCTTGAGGAAAAACCGGGGTCACTGGCTGAACTGGCTGAACAAGTGGAACAACCGGAGCGACTGGAACCGGCACCGGAGCTGGCTGGACGACATGAACCGGCGCCGGCTTCACCTGAACCTCCGTCACCACCACCGACTGCTTGTGCTGCTCAGCAGGAGGCAGCGCCGAGTTGAAGGACTGCCTCACCTCGGTCGTCTTTGAGGAGCTGCCGGCGTTGGGGCCAAAATTGGAGGAAGAAGATGAAGAGTAGGAAGAGTAGCTATTGCTAGACGACGATGAAGAATATCTTTGAGCAGAAGGCGGCTGAATAAAGTGCGTTCTCCTTTCCCCTCCTCCAGTCTGCCGATTGAGCACCAGCGGCTTACTGGCCGTCACAATATTTGAGGTGCCGTAAATGTCGTTGAACATCTTCTCGCCAAGAATCTCCCGCGCCGCCTCAAAGGCCGACTTGCCCGACTGAACGGTAGTAGTCACCTTGGCGGGACTGAAGCTGTAAGAGGAGGTTGGAGAAGATACAAAGGTGTTGTAGGTGGAAAAACCACCGGTGGAACTGGAGCCACCGGGCCGGATCACTCTCGTCTGCGTGGGGATTTCGTACATTTGCCCCGCTTGCATTTGGATGCCTTCCTTGATTTGCGAGTTGACTTGCCGGTAGTNCCGGATCACTCTCGTCTGCGTGGGGATTTCGTACATTTGCCCCGCTTGCATTTGGATGCCTTCCTTGATTTGCGAGTTGACTTGCCGGTAGTTGTTGTTGAGGTTGTTTGCCTGCCAGCCTCCTTGGTAAAACGGCTGCCGGTTGTTTTGTTGGGCGTTGTAGTGCCTCCCTGAAGAAGAAGATGAAGAGCTGGAGGAAAATGAAGAACTTGGCATCGGCTTGATGACATGCGTTGAGTACTGCACTGGTCTCATGTACT